CTGTATTTGACTGCTTTCCCCCAGCAACAACCCCGCCAGTGCCAACCACGCTTCAGACCCTGACGAGAACCTTTGCTCCTTCAGGTATGGAAAGTAAGCAGCAGTAGTGGCTCCCATCAGCCAAGCTGCAGCACGCCGCCAGAAAGTTTAATTTTTACTTGTGGGACATCAGAGTGAGATGTGCACTTCTTGTGTATTTGGAGGTAGTTCTGCTGAACTACAGTTCTCGGAGAGGGAAATTTTGGTGTCATAAAACAGGCATATGGCAACATGCAATATTCACATATCACTGGGATTTTTCAGCACTTGCTAGGGTTTTATTACCTATATTTGTTTAGCTGTAATGCTTATTAGCCATACTTTCTTTTCCACTCCAGTGCAAATTTGTAGCTACAGTTGCGTGCATGTGAGCTACCTGTGTCCTGCCCGTATCTTTGATAAAATTAAAGCACATTATTTGGTATATGGAGATAAACCAGCTCAGCTTTCATAGAGATTAAAACTGAGAAATCTGGAGGAGATTAGGTTATTCACTGAAAAATATACTCTGAAAAAGTTAAAAAAAAAAACAAACTTTTTTTTTTTTTCTAATGGGATTATTCGTGACCATCTGATCACCCCCATTACCACGTGACATTCTGGGTGTCTCATGCATATAAAGTTTCCTTTGGCTGTGGTCTTGGGCACTGCAAATGTGCTACACATACATGCCTTGACAAATGACTCATCTGGTTTCTGGTACATTTTACTCAGGTGGAGGTTCTCTTGTCAAGCCTTTGAAAGCACTACTCATCACAGTCTTTCTATACATGAGGGCAGGACCTAAAGCATAGGAGCTTTCCTGTCATAGGACGTAAGTTGAGGTTTTGATTCACTAAGCTGAGTGTCTCCTCTGTTTTTAAGATTCTGCTAAACATTGGGTGCTTTCTGTGACAGATCAAGTGCTTCAGATGCTTAAATACTTAAGTACTTTGTAGCATGAGGTCACGATGAGCCATAGATTAACTTTTGTGACTTTAAATTCACTAGCAAAACCAAACGAGTAGGATCATAAGGTAACAGTAGAAGCACTTGCTGCAGGAGTTCTTGAGCATTCATTTAGTTCATTCCTGTTTCCAAAGCTTAGAAAACTAGAACTGAATTATTCTTAATATCCCTAGAGAGAAAAAAAAAATATGCATCATCTTCATAGAGCTTTCTTAAATCTGTGGTAAATTATCTGAATGTAAAGATGTTTCCTATAATTTTCAGTACTAATGCAGCTTTCAAAAACTTCAATCACACATAAGTCTAATCACAAAGAAACTGAGACAGTTCCTTCACTTAGACTCTGCTTTCTATGGCATCCTGTCGTGCTTAGAGAAGTGAAAGCTCCTTCACAGCAAACAAGTTTCCACTGTCTTTCTTCATGGGCTATCCCTGAGAAGCCTCCTCTTTCCTTGATGAAGACTGACATTTCCCAATGACTGCCTGATATGTCATTTGTGTCAGAAACAGATTGTTCCCTTTTGGTTGCAAGGTGCTTTATTTCTCCTACTCAGGATCAGATTTTGCCCTCCTCACTCCCTGAGAGTTCATTACTCCTTGGCTAAAGCAGTGACAATGACAGCGGCCCTCACTCCTTCAGGTGACTGTGCCAGTAATAATTTCAGTCTCTTTTATTTTCAGTGATTTCAGGAAGTGCAGATGGCAAGGCTGAGGAACATGATGGTAACAAACATAAGGTAAAACTTCCTCTAAGTTTCAAGAGTGTTTAGCTGGAAGCCAGAAGGACAGCAGGACATTCTAGTGATTTTCAATATATTCATACTAAAGGGACAGTGTTTGCAAACAGTAGTTTGAACTTTTGTTTGGAAGCCCAGGAACCATCTATTCATCTTTCCAGTGGATAGAGCCAAAGCCTGTGACCATCCCATCTGAATTGGACACTTCAGAAAAACCTCATCCCCCTGACAGCCCTGTAAGTCAGGCAGAGGTAGCATCCTCAGGGTGTGACCAGGCAGAAGACAAATTAGGAGGGTTGTTATGCTTCCCTGTTTCTAATTAAGAGAAGGATGAGGATGACTAAGCTCTTTAGACACCTTATGAAAAAGTTCATGTTAAGTGGGATGAATCTAGGCTCAAATTCTTCAGAAGAAGATTTATTAAATACTTAACAGGTAATTCATGTTGTTTATCATGATCAGCCTGATGTGTCTTCTCCATACTTGTACAGAAAAGCCTTGCAAGCTCCAGCCAAATGTAGATCTTTCAGAGCTCTTAGCAACTAGGGCAACCAGCTCCTGCATGAACAGGTCTGAAGTAAACATGCTTCATTTTTTCTCTTCTCCCTTCCAGTTTCCCAGCTATGCCATTCTCATTGCCTGTCTCATAGTGGTGCCCGTTCTTGTCATACTGATGCTCTCATTGTTGTTTTGGAAACGTAAGTATCCCTAAGCACATAATTGATTAATGTTTCTAATGCTGGCCTAGTGCAGATGTCCTTTTGTACCTCTGGCTAATCTTCTGGTAAATCTGCCATGGCCCCTGTGACAGCACTCTGTTCATTTTGTGAGGGTTGCTGTCCTTACTCCAGGAGTGTGGCACCACGAGGAGACCAGGGAGCATGAGTTGGTGGGGATGCGGCAGGAGGAAGCCTGTGCAAAGAACCTGTTCACTCACTTGTTGCAGGTCTGGCTCATCTTGTTGGCTCTTGCTTTATAGTAAAGTGGTCCCATAGTTTCCTGGAATTGCTCCTGACAGACATTGGTGTAATTTAAATTAAAATTAGACCCTTTATTTCCTGCTTAGCCCACAGAAATTTTGCAACTTGCTATCTTTGCTTCTGAACTAATTTGACTGATTCATTAGAGTTACAAATTTCTTTTTGCCATTGTGACATTAATATTATTTTGCTTCTAGGTAAACACACAAAGAAGTTTATAATAAAAAGGTAATCCATTTTGTAATTTCCTATTAAAAGTTCCAAAGTAATTTTTGTTAGAGGCAGGAAGGTGTTGGCGATTGATTGTAATGGGTATACTATTGGCTTGCGGTGCTGACTATCAAAGTGGTATTATGAGAAAGCTTCAGACCGCTTCATCCCAGAAAATCAAACAGTGGTTCCTGGATACTGCTTGTATGTAGTGATGAACAGACATCCAGAGTACTGGAGAACTTCAGCAACTAGTACTGTTATGTAGTGACCCCAGCTTAAGGAAATACCTAATCTGCTTTATTCTTTGATCAAATATCAGGGCATGACACTCATGGGGTTATTTTAAAGAAATGAAGAGATAAATGGTTATGATGATCAACTGGCAAAATGATTACTCAGAAAGGGATCAGGGATTTATGGACATGGAGAGGCAAATCATGCCAATACATAAAGAATGAGCCCCATGAAGGGTACCCTGCAGCAGTGTGACAAATTAAGCTTTCCACCACTAGATAAATCTTGCAGCTTTCATGGGGCCACTGCACCCTCTCCCACACTCCTTGGGTCACACTGAAGTATCTGAAGTGATCATCGAGGTGGTTGTTTTGGGGCAGATATGAAATATGGAAGTATGATGAGTCATCCTGTGCAGGTGTAACTGATAAGTTCATGTCTTCTGGCTTGTCTGGAAAAAAGGATTTTCTCTAGGCAAACCACAGGCAGTCCAGTGAAGTATCATCCCTTACCAAAGATCCATAATTTTTCAATGGTAAATGGTCCCCCACTGCATACCCCACCGAGGAGACAAGGACTGGGGGCCAAGGAGGGACCCTTTTCTGAATCATATGGCAATTACTCTACAGCTGTTGTTATAAGATCTGAACAGCCCTTTCCTATCCATTAGAATAATGCAAGCAAGGTAAATACTTCTCTGGTGTAAAAAGTAGGCATTGCACCACGGATGTCAGTGGACTCAGTAGCTTCTTGTCTCCATTTCAATGGGAATTTGCTGACATTACAAATAGGATACTCTGAAGCAGCAATGTGCTTTTGCCCCATCCATGGTGATCTATGCTTCTTGCTACAGCCTTGGACCAGTGGAAAACCTTGAAAAAGTTTTCAGTGGCACTGAAGGAGAAAACAGCCTTTTTTCCCTGTGAAGAGCTCCTGCATCACCTGTAGATGACATGGAGAATAAAAAGGGCCTGTTTGATGCTGCATTGAGAGATGCTTACGAATCCTCAAGGTATCAATGGGTGTAAACCAAAGGCCAAAGCTTCAACTGTGAAAATTTGAAATCTTTTTGCCAATTTTGCCATGGCACCTTTAAAACTCATTGCATAAAGAAGCGTCTTTGAGAAGGTGCTCTATGCATTATTCATAGGTGTTTCTGGCATTTGCCTTCTTACTAATACCAAATTTAATTTGTTTTTCTCCGTTTTTACTAATGCTATTCCTTGAATACATCTCATAGTGTGAGGAACAGAAGAGAGAAGAATTAACATAGAATGCTGCCTAACTTCAAATTGCCATAAGAAAGAAAAGAAATCAGCAAATACAGTTCTTATTGCTTTTATATAATCAAGAGAATAATTAAGCCACAAGAATGCTGCAAGTATAAATAAAAAATGCAGATTACTTAAGGGGTACCAATGCTGCCTGTGGTTCAGCATGTTTGAATGACCCTTGGAGACTATGTTAATAAACTTCGTAATTTACTGCTAGCAATTGTATTTTTTATGCCACATCCTAAGGCATTTGAACAGCAGTTAGTTATTCCCCAGGTGTTGAAATGACTGGTGTGTTGTCTGAGTTCTCCAAAGAAGTACTGCAGCATTTCCAGAGGTGGGAAAATGCCCAGAAGGCCAACGTGCAGGGAATTTTTTTCTATCCTGCCCCTACAAATCCCCATACCACTCAATTGTAAATCCATGCCCCCCCCATCAATGTGCATAGAGGGTCCCCAGTGGTTTGTTTGGAGTTGCCTTTTGGTCCTCACAATGACAACTTACATAAACCAGGAGTTCTCATGGTGGAGTCTGCTTGGCAATGCAGACCTGCACCATGCAGCCTAAGGGTGCTTCATTTAGGGCCCCAGCACCCAATCACAGCGTAGCATAGTGCTGTCTAGTTGGGTTTTGTATAGATGAGACTGGGGTGTCCAGACCCACCAGTGCTGCCCATTTATCTTTTAGAGAAGTTGCAGGTAAGAAGCACAGTGCAGAGCACAGCCACATCTTTGAAACTTGGTCATCCTTTCAGGTGCCCATGGGAAGTGGGTGAAGCTTATCTCAGTGTTTCTGAGCAACACAGGGAAAAATCCTGTGATCTCTATGGAAAGGCTCTGGGGATGCTAAAAACAGTGAAGAAGAAGAGATGACGGATGACATTCACCTTCTGCTGCTTCTAGTGGGACAGAAGGGCTGTCGGGAAAAACACTGCTGCTGCTGGGGACATAATTTGTCCCCAGTCCTTCTCAGTAGCAACAAGCTGTCTCTATACTCTTACTCCATCCTCAGGGACACTGGCAGGACCTGCCATCCCTGTTCCTGGGACTTCATTGTTGCAGAGCTGGCAAGCAGGCTGTGGCTGTTTAGCTGCTGAGATATCTCCCTGCCAGTGCTTAGAGCTGACCCTGAAGGTGGGGATGGTTTGGAACCTGTGGGCTGCATGGGCATGTGTGTGATTAGCACAGGGGGGCAGCCCAGCTCCACGCTGTGAACCTTAGCTTGGCCTTGGGGTGCCTGAGCAGGAGGGAGGGCTGCCAGCAGCATAGAGCAATCCAGGGAAGTCTGAAACCCTCCCTGTTATTCTCAAGCCCTGTAAATGCTGTCATAGCGATAGCTCTGCAGCACTAACCTTGTCTTCTACTCAGCTGGGAAAGCTGGAGCCTTCAAGTGGCTGCAGGGCAGATTGGCAATGCATAGCAGGGTGAAGCCCATCATTTCACCACGCTAATCACACCCTTTTTGAGGGGCTTTTACTTGTGTTTCAGCTGGGTTGAGATTTAGGCTTTAAAAACCATCCTGAGTTGGTAACCAGCCTGGGGGCATTAGTGAAGTGGGACTGGCCATGGAGATAGGGGATCATCTATGGGATGGGCTGCAGAGCTTTTGTGTATTTTAGTGGGGTCTTCACCAACTCTGCTGCGGTGACTACGGGAACAGCATGGGAGAAGGTTCAAATCCATGACACTGTTATTTCCATTGCCTCGAGTTCACCAGTCCTTGCTATGGCAACTCTGGGCAACAACAACTTGAAGTAACAGCATTTTGTGGGAATAGCATTTGAT